ACCTGTGGAGGCCAGAAGAGGGCACTGGATTCCCTGAAACTGGAGTTACAGGTGGTTCTGAGTCACCCCAACATGGTTGCTTGAAATTGAACTTGGGTCCTTTGAAATAGCAGCAAGTGCTCTTAGTCACCAAATCATCTCTCTATATGTAGTTTAAATAGCTCCTAACTATTTATTGAGCTTGCATATTATTTCCAGCTATGCCATATTAGGTATAATAGAAATACAACAATCTTTTTTTTTTTTTTTTTTACAAAGAATTACTGGGTTGTAGCCCGCCTTGGCGGGTCACTCAGTCTAGGGGCTGTAACCTGCCTGGCTGGTCAGTTATTCCAGGGTCCTGAAGAGGCGCTATCTTGAAGATATCGGTTTGTCAGTCTCCGTTTATTAGAGTCATGGTTACAGCTTATATAGGATGAGGAATTGGGGGGGGGGGGGACATGACTAGAGCAGGAAGGGATCTTGTAGCGTGGTCCAAGCCAGTCACGAGGTCGTCAGCCAAGAGGTTACGATCGGTCAGGTCACGATTCCTCTGTCAGGAAGTCACAAGTTGACACTCCTAGTTCTCTAGATAACTGGAGTGTGGGGCGGGTGTGTTACCACCCCTACTAAGCAGCAGTTTTATGATCTACTTAATTTTGTTATCAGATGAGGCATGAATACAGCTGTTTTATTGTGCTAACCCAAATACGGTGATGAATGTGAGTTTGCTATTTTTGTGGGTTTTTTCTTTATTTTTCTTTTATTTATTATTCGTGTGTACATGTGCACATATGTTTGCCATGGTGCTTACATGAAGATGAGAAGGTGACATTCAGGAATTGATTCTCTTTTCCTTTTCTTTTTTTTTTAAATTGATGTTTATTGAGCTCTACATTTTTCTCTACTCCCCTCCCTGACTTTCCCCTCCCCTTCAATCCTCCCCCAAGGTCCCCAAACTACCAATTTACTCAGGAGACTTGTCTTTTTCTACTTCCTATGTAGATTAGATCTATGTATGTCTCCCTTAGGGTTCTCATTGTTGTCTAGTTTCTCTGGGATTGTGATTTGTGCACTGGTTTTCTTTGTATTATGTTTAAAAACCACTTATGAGTGAGTATATGTGATAATTGTCTTTCTGTGTCTGGGTTACCTCACTCAAAATGATGTTTTTTAGCTCTGTCTATTTGCCTGCAAAATTCAAGGTGTCATTATTTTTTTCTGCTGTGTAATATTCTGTTGTGTAAATGTACCACATTTTCCTTATTCATTCTTCAGTCAAGGGGCATTTAGGTTGTTTCCAGGTTCTGACTATGACAAACAATGCTGCTATGAACATAGTTGAGCACATGTCCTTGTGACACGATTGAGCATCCTTTGGATATATACCCAAAAGTGGTATTACTGGGTCTTGAGGAAGGTTGTTTCCTAATTTTCTGAGAAATCACCACACTAACATCCAAAGGGGCTGTACTAGTTTGCGTTCCCACCAGCAATGCAGGAGTTTTCCCTTTTCCCCACAACCTCCTCAGCATAAGTTGTCATCAGTGTTTTTGATCTTGGCCATTCTTACAGGTGTAGGATGGAATCTCAGAGTTGTTTTGATTTGCATTTCTCTGATGACTAAGGATGTTGAAGACACACCGAGGGGGTGTCTTTTAGCCATTTTAGATTCCTCTGTTGAGAGTTCTCTGTTTAGGTCTGAACTTCATTTTTTAAATTGGATTATTTGTTCTTTTTGGCGACCAATTTCTTGAGTTCTTTGTATATTTTGGAGATCAGCCCTCTGTCTGATGTGGGGTTAATGAAGATCTTTTCCCATTCTGTAGGCTGCCATTTTGTCTTGTTGACCATAACCTTTGCTTTACAAAAGCTTTTCAGTTTCAGGAGGTCCTATTTATTAATTGTTTCTCTCAGTGTCTGTGCTACTGGGGTTATATTTAGGAGGTGGTCTCCTGTGCCAATGTGTTCAAGTGTATTTCCCACTTTCTCTTTTATAAGGTTCAGTGTGACTGGCTTTTTGTTGAGGTCTTTGATCCATTTGGACTTGAGTTTTGTGCATGGTGATTTTTTTCACTATAGATTCAGGCTTAAATGACAAGCGTTCCTCACATAGTCAACCATCGCACTAACCCTATTTGTGTATTTTCTAAGGGTGCACCAATCCTCTTGGCCACCATTCATGCCATAGTTCTTACCTTCTGGTTTTATGTAGTCTTAAAATATACTCAGTTACCCGCCCAGCGGGTCCAGTTATTCCAGGGTCCCAAAGAGGCGCTATCTGAAAAAGACATGGGCGGGAGACAGGAAGGAGACCAAGCAGAGCCAGACAAGATTCTGTTCTCAATTTGTCAAGGTCTCTCTTTATTAGGGAAATGGTTGTGGCTTAGATAGCCCTTGAATGAGGAATTTGGCTTGGGATGAGGGCAGGAGCATGGCAAGGGCAGGAAGGGATCTTGCCGGAGCAGCAATGGTCACAAGTCAACACACCTAGTGTTCTCTATGCAAGCGGAATCGTTCCTTTTGTGATTCCAACCACAAAAGATTGTTTAGATAGTTGGAATGTGGGGCGGGTTCCACTAACAGATAGCTCTCAAGATAGTTGGGTGTGGGGCTCCCCGCAAACATCCTTAGGACAATAGTCCCTGCTATAATTTTTAGGAAAATGGCTCCTGACATATTCATTTGTTCAATTTTCTAATGAGCCTTTTTGTAAGATTTATATTATTTTTATTTATGTCTCCCTGTGTGTATGTCTCTCTGAGATTCTGTGAAGATGAGCCTAGGTGCCCACGGAGGTCAGAAAAGGGCTTTAGATCCTCTGGGACTGGAATTAAAGGCAGTTGTGAGCCACTGATGTGGGTGCCCAGGTTCAAACTGTCACAGGCGTGTGCGGTGCTGCCTCAAGAAATGGATCAAAATCCGCGAGCACCAGGGCACCTGACTGTCATGCTCAGGGTAGGACTGTAATAAAGACACCAGAAATGATGATGGAAAAATAATAGATAAGTTTATCAAAACATTTCAAAGCATGGTCTAGATATCAAAGTGAAGCAAATGCAGGCCGAGAATATGCTTCTGTGGTGACTGGGGCATTGTTGAGCACCCTGCCTCTCTTTTATTATTATTATTTTCTTTGATAATTGCATATATAACTACTGTACTACATAATTTCTATCCCTTCCTTCACCCTCCAACTTCTGTGTCTCCCCATTCACTCTCAAATTTATGCTATATATATGGCATATATATAACATATATGTATATATAATATATGTGTATACACACACACACACACACATATATATATATATATATATATATATATATATCCTGCTAAGTTCAGTTCATGTTGCTCATATGTATATGATAACCTCCAAGGAGTTCAGCCCTGAGGAAGGCTGAATCTCTGACTCTTGGCAGTCATTAATTGCCTGTAGCGTTTCATCTAGGGGTGTGCAGGGCCTTGTATGGTCTCTTCCATCCATGTTGACTAGTGTTGTCATTGTGCTGGATTTTTATGATGGCTTCCATCTGCTGCAAAACCCACTGCTTTGATGAAGGTTGAGACCAACACTTAACTGCTTAAAAGGATAAGTATTTAGAATATAGTTATTAATGATACTGATGCATAAAAGTGGCAGTAGGTTCTCCCACACAGTCCATAACCTTGCTAACCTAGGAAGATGGCATGGTTTCCCTCCTGCTGAGTAAGGCTTAAGTCTGCTTAGGCAGCTGTTGGTTGCTGCCAAGATATGTACGTATGCCACTATTGCACCTTTGCGAATAACTTGCCATGCTGGCCATTGCCATGTTGTCATAGCTAGGTAGGACGATAATTGTTTGTCCCCCTTGGCATGTTAACACCATCAGACACTGTAAGAGCCATCCCTCAGGGAGTTTTCCAGGTCTGTTCCAGAAGGATTCCTTCCAGTCCTGTGTCTGAACTATGTTGTATCTTCAGCAATAAGATCTTACCTTCAAGTTCTGGAATGTAACCAAGGTCATTGGCAATAGCTTCTATTGTTTAGGTAGTCTCTCGGACTCTCCTAATAACTCAAAGGGAGGTTTTATATGCCTGGAACTGGGACTTTTGCTTTGTCTGTGGCTCTTGATTGAAGTATTATTGCCTCAAGTGATGTCACTTTAGTGTGTGTGTATTTGTATACATATGCTTTTATAATATCCATGTTTTTTAAGTACACATGAAATATGTTTCCCTGTAGCTTTTAAAAACATCCTTAGTGTGACTTAGTTTCCTCCCTCTCTTTATAGTGTCCTCTGTCAACTCCCCGGTTAATTTCCATCCTTCATTTCCCCTCCAACCCCTCATGGCACTTTCATCCTCTGTCCTGCTTTGTAAAGCAGCAAAGTAACTTGAACAAGGAGGTAAACAAGATGGTGGATTCCAGGTACCCCCCTCCACTCGTCAAGGACAGATGAAAATTGCTTCAGGTGCATTCACATTGCAAAGAAGGATGCATAGTAATTCTTTCCCATTCCCCATAGGGTACGGGGTAGAGAGAGATGGCTCAATGGTTACAAGCACTTCTTATTCTTCCAGAGGACCAGAGTTTGTGTTTGGGGGAGGGGTGGGGTGGCTAGGTAGGAGGATATAGTGTTTGTTGTGAAAATACAAAGACTTGAAATTGGATCACCAGCACCTCCATGAAAGCCAGGGACTGCTGCACGTATCTGATTCCCAGGTCTGAGGGCAGAGATAGGCAATTCCAGAGCTTGCTGGGTGGCCACCCTGGCCAAACTGAGTTCAGTGAGGGACCCTGTTTCAAAATATAATGTGGACGGCCAGTAGAGGAAGACATCTACTATCGACCTCTGACTTCTATATGTGCACACAGAGCTAAGTACACACACACACACACACACACACACTTAAAATACATATTTAATAAATGTCTTTTTCCCTGGTCCTAGGCATCATCATATTACCATGTATGTTTTAATCATTGTTTGCATGATTACAAATTTAAATACAGTTCACTAAAATGTTTTCTTTCTAGTCTCCAGAGAATACCGAGGGCAAAGATGGACCCAAACTAACTAAACAGGAGGTAAGCATACCTTTGCATACCGACATAGCCTTGCTATTAAAATGTTTCATGTTCTCTGCATGTGAAGGAATGCCATTGCAAACAAATCCACTGAGGTTAAAAGCCAAAGATTACATGTAGTTCCGCTTGGCTTGGGCGTATTTCATTGAGTACGTTGATGAGGTATTTTCCGATGTTGTTTGTGTTTCTACCTGTTGGTCCTGCTGTCTGTCAAAGTGGGTACTGAGAATTCCTTCTGGGCAGAGAGTAAGACAATAGGTAAATTCATCAAGGAAATCAGAGCCGGCTTTTTATAACAAGAAAATGAAAGGTTGTTGATTTCATAAATTTTCTGCTCCAACAAGTGAATTATGAATTCCTTTTTTGATTCTGAGTATTTACCTAAGAGGATTCATCTCTAAAGACAAAACTATGGAAAGATTCATAATACATCAAAATATTAAAGCTTTTGTTTTAATTAGGAAAATTCTTTAGTTATTCAGATAACAAATTAGTCCATGACTCAAAGATGCTTTGTATTAAAATACAGAAACCTGGAAAGGGGTTAAGAACTTGGAAAACATGCTTATGTCCGACCCTTGATGAGGATACTGAAAAGGATGTCTTAAGAAGTCAGAAGCAAGCAGTATCTATGATGACAGCTATTCCCTTTTGCATAGAGCTTTCCAGAGAGTGGAAAACTTCAGCTCTTACACTCGAACTTATAACCTAAGTAGGGTCACAAGAGAGCAAAAACAATATCCAGTTACAGATTCTTTGATGGGGTGATTCATATTATGGTTAATAATTCAGAGGAATTCGTTGTAATATCCAAACCCCCACATAAGCTTTGTACATGGAAATTCATTCTGCCAAGGACGAAATCTTTACCAGAAGCTGTGAAGATGTAATGTAAAAAGAAAGCCGCCTGCCTGCCCTTCTCAGCCCTGTACCGACAGTGAGCCTCTGGAGATAATCATCAAGTCAGAAAGCACAGTCAAGCCACCACGCACATGCTAGCGTTAGACAAAAACACGAGGAACATCTAGAAAATGGGTAAACGTAATTTCAAAACAGTTGGTGAAGTGTAACCTCAATGTTTTTGGGGCTAGGTACCCCATGCACACAAAGCGTTTGGGTTTCTCTCTGAGGGTTGACATTTAACTTGATCAGTCAGAAAGCCTTAAAAACCATTGCTCAGAAGAGACGCTGGACTACAGAAAGCCTTCCCAGTCAGTCCCTCTACGCCAGAAGCAAATCCTGCTGCCTGGGACACATGTAAATAATAAGCATGAGTTTTATGTATATAATTTAGGTATGTTAGTCCAAGATTTTTCATGCTTTATGCTTTTCTGGTTAGTTATTTTCCAGTATATTATATACTTTTATATCATTCCTAACAAAAGTATTTTGTAGACAATGCTTTTAAAAAAAACTATCACGTGTCTTCAAGACATCGACACAGTCGTTTGAAAGTAAAAGGTCATCGGTTAGCTTGAGTGTTGACTAGTGCTAAAAACGGCCAGAAGTGCACTGATTGATCTCCTCCACCACCCCCCAAAGTGAATTGAAATTCAGTTCAAACTGAATTCTCCAGTTATGTCACTTCGTATGTCACCCAGGATGAACAGCTGCCGGCTACAAAGGGGCTCTTCTTTTGTAGATTTCCCACAATGGCTGTGATATTTGGAAGGCATTGTACAGAGCCCTGAGCTTCAGGACACTGGACAATAAATGACCTAAACAGTGTATCGTGGCTATTACTCTCTGCCGTTTACAAAACCTTTTCATTTCCATTCTTGTATCTGAGCTCTTCGATAACCTAAGAAGCATCCCCCTACCCCCCTTTGCTCCCTCCTTGCCATGGTGGAGATGGGACCCAGCACCTTGTATATACCTGCTCAGCTTTACCACCCCTGCCTCACAGCGTTCCTTATCAAAAATGTATGATCACCTATAAATTCTCCCAGCACTGTGCCAGGCCCTGTGGGTCCCACAGTGAAATGCAAGCATGACTTTGCCTTCCTAAAGCCTCTGTCTTAGTACGGAAGAGAGAGTAAAGTAATAGGACATTTGCTATTTAAAACAAAAAATTAGAGAGAAAGTCAGGAGAAGAAATAGCGACTGGCAGGGGAGTACTGGTTCTGATAGCCGATGGGCGGGTGCAGTGATCCCTATTTTATGTCAAGGAGAAGAGTTCTTGGAGAAATGATAGAGTTTTCTCCAAATGTCTCAACTTGTAATTAGCAGAGTCAGGGAAAACACCTGGTCCCCGGTCCTTATTGCCCCCCGCCTTTTGTACAGTGCTTCAGTTGAGTGACCCAGTTCCTACGTCTTCATCTTCTCCACTGCCCAGCCGAGGCTCTCGTTCTTTCTCTGTCTCCCAGTTTTGAAAAGAAGGCTATTGCTACTGAACTTCTCGTTTGTTTGTTTTTAAGTCTCAAAAGCAACTTGACTTTCAATTTTGCTTTAAAAGAACATGCTGAGGCTCAGAAGCAGAGGGGCGTCTTATAAAAACTAGGTTTGAAGCAATAATCAGCAAAGTCCAGTAATTCTTCTTGGACCTCCGTCTCTGTCTCTCTCTGTGTCTCTCTCTCTGTCTCTCTCTCTGTCTCTCTCTCTCTGTCTGTCTCTCTCTCTCTGTCTGTCTCTCTCTCTCTCTCTCCCCTCTCCCCTTTGTGAGAGTAGATGTCTATGCTGCATGTGCAGCCAGAATGTTGACATAGACCCCATGTCGTTCAGATGGGGGCAGTCAGTCAGTAATGCTTACTGGATAACTCTGACGTCTCCAGTAGCTATAAACCATGGTAATCTGGCATCTAAACCTCTTTATTCCCTGTCTGAGAGCCAACCACTTTTCCTATGATTTCTCAATCAACAAATTAAGAAAAATTCCTTAACAGCCCCTACCCAGTTCTACCAAGTAAGGCTGAGCTTTAAATGAATATTTCAAATGCTTTAAATGTCTCACAGAGGAATAAATAGCAGTCTAGTCTGTTTTGTATCCAATAAATTTAGTCCAATCATTTATAGATGTTAAGGCTGTGGAAGCCGATGGAACTTTCCAGGAAGGCATCTATACTTGCATTCGTAAGTGGTACTGCTGACTGAATGAAAGGTTAGTCTCAGCCTTCACTGCAGTGAAAGAAAAAAAAAATCCCTTATGGTGATTGCTGGAAAGGAAGTTAGAAAAGGCTTTTCTTTTATGGCACAGACAAGCTGGTAAATTTTAGGTAGGAAGTCATAAAATAATTTTATGGTACAGCATCTACATTTTAGAGTCTGGCTGGGTAAGATAGCCTATAGAGACGGATGTAGCATCAATTTCCCAAGCCTTTCTTTTGGAACACTTATTCTGAACCTAAATTAAGACTGTGGATCAGTCAGCTGGAGGCCCGCCCTGTAGAACAAGCTCTGAAGAGACCATCCCCCTGGAAGGCCTATTCTGGGTGTGCAGATGTTGGTGTGGAGAGGCAGGGTTTCGCAACTGGGACCTCCTTCAACGTGATTTTTACCTTTCTTTAATAAGATTCTGCCAACAGCAACTGGTTGGGAAATGGACAGTTCTGTATCATGGCTTACGTGTTTGGCTCCTTTCCATAAGTAAATTATATATGGATTTCTGGCATTTGCTTCTTCCATTTGCCTCAATACTTACTCAGGGTCCCGGCTAGGCATCGACAATACTGAAATAGAAAAAGAAGGTGCTTAGGGGTAGGAGATACAGACGGGAGATGAATGAAGTCACCGGTGAAGTGAAGCCAACAGGATGCTTGTAGGTTGACAGCCAAGCAGGAAGGGATTTGGGTAAGGGTCCATTTGCTTCCCTTCAGCAAGGAAGCTGCCAGTCTTCTCCATGGAGAAGGTTGCTTTGCTGCTGGACTTGTTGGATGGTGGGAATGTGTTTTGAGGCTACACAGAAACTTCAGAGCTGAGCTCCCCAGTAACGGGGAGGGAGAGGGCAAGGGGGATGCATTTCTGTTCTTCCACATTCAGAAACCGTGGTGAAGCATACACATGTTTTGCACAGCCATGGGGGGAATGTTGTCTTTTCTTCAGCAATCCTCAATCCGGTTGACCATTCTGAGAAAGGGTGGTGGCAGGATTTGATCCTGACTCCTAGGGACTTGTGGGTGTGATTTCACAAGGCTCCCGAGAGAACCCTAGCAGGCATCTTGGTGCTTCCAGTGGGGAATGCCTCCCACATCCTTCTTTACTGACCACAGTTGTGCCTCAGGCTGGGTGCTCCTGCCAACCTGGGTAGTAACTTTGTCCCAGTCAGCAGCTTAACCGGCTTCCTATCCTATGTAGACCCTGTTAGCCGGACTTAAGGCCAACTGCGATGGTTCCTTAAGACCCCAAGGTTAAAACTATTCATGGAGGCCCTGGCCCTTCATTTCTGTCTGCGGATGAAAGGAAGATGAGTTGAGCTCCGCTTCGACTTTCAGCAAGGAGGTTTTCAGATGCGGTGATGTCAAGAACTATTTCTTCCAGTCTGACCTGACCCACTGACCTAGACTGACTTCAGCAAGGATTCAAGAATTTCTGCAGTTCTTCTCAATCATGACACAAGTTCCCACTGACCGTTTTTGCTGACCCACTTAAGAAAAACGATTTGGAAGCTTTTAAACTATCAGTGTGAGTCAGAGTCTTGTAAAGCAGTGTGAGTCAGGGAGAAGCTTGAGTTCATCTGCTCAGCCAGTGTTCTGGATGTGGCAGGCTGTGTCTGCTCTTCTCCTGGAGATGGAACCTAAGTGAAATGAACAGACCGTATGGAGTAAAGCCTGCAGAGAAAACTAAGTTTGGTTTTAGGAAACTAAATCCCTTTATCCAGGAGAAATCGGTTCTCCTGGATTAGTAAAGAGGGTCCATTTTTTTGTGTTGGATGCTTGTGTTATTTTGTGTTTTCTTTAGGGTATGATTGGCTTTTAACTGGGGTGATCCTCAAAAGATTTTCTGAAAAACTGAATTCAATCAGTATCTAGCTAATCAATTTCCTAAACTTTTGGGATTAAGAGATTAGTGAAACCTGTTTTGGGTAGATAATTGTGTTGATCTTGTTCTGGGTTTGAAAAAAAATATCTTTCTTGCCTGTGTGAGATTTACAGTCAATGTTTTTCTCAGTGTTGCAAAGATAGGCAAATCCTGTGTTGGTTTCTATGTAATTACTAAGTCTCTCTTACTAGCTTGAAGATTTTGATTCTGTTTTAACGAGACCATTTCTTAAGGTAACTCCGTGTTCTGATGTCAGTTTATCACAAAGGGAGCGATTGTGGGTTAGAGCGGAGTCAGGATTCCTCTCTTCCCCCTTCTCCCAGTGCTCTTAGCTGGGAGGAACCGGTTGATGGAAGCCAAGCCGGTATCTTGCAGCAGCACTTTCTCTGGAGCACCCAGGAGTCTTGGTGTGTTCCATTACGCTAATCTGAGAGGATGATGGGGAGCATACATTTCACCATTTCCACAAAGTAAAATATATCAAGAAAGAATTTTAAAAACCAGCCTGGATGTTTATAATTGCCAAAACAATTTTTTCCCATTCTTTTGTAGCCCACAAGACGGTCAGCCAGATTATCAGCGGTAAGTACCCCTGAGCCCCTCGATGTAGCTTCTTAGGAATGTGTACTCCCTTTGTCCCAAGCAAAAGGATGATTTGCTGGCATTTTCCTTGAGTTTATTTTCCTTTGGGGGTCTCTGTTTCTAGCAAATCAGGCCTATGTTGCCGAGCAGTTTACTTGATTATCTGTGTCAGTGAAAAGCAGTGGCCAAGTCCGCTATCAAGTCTATAAAGCCCGTGCTCATTGAAACTGCTAAATCCCTGAGCAAGAGCATTAGGCAAGTCCTGGTCCCCAAATTCTCCACCTGTTAATATTGAAATGGATCCAGAATGTAGATTCTCTGCCCACAACCCATACTTTTGAGCATTTTATTCCTGGATCAGAATGTTCCTAAATTAATTCATAGGCGTTAGCCGCATTCCAGTCCTGGGACATCTTTGAAAGAGTGGCACTTTCCTTGGTCTCTTTGAGTCTCCTTCAGCCATGTCCAGGGAGAGGATGACTAGAGCTAGGATGTACGGTGGGACTGAGCCTACCCTGACCAGATGATGTGTGAGCCTGTGCTCCAGCTCCCGGCCAGTCCAGATGTGTGAGCCTGTGCTCCAGCTTCCGGCCAGACCAGATGTGTGAGCCTGTGCTCCAGTCTGGATGTGTGAGCCTGTGCTCCAGACTGGATGTGTGAGCCTGTGCTCCAGTCTGGATGTGTGAGCCTGTGCTCCAGCTCCCGGCCAGACCAGATGTGTGAGCCTGTGCTCCAGTCTGGATGTGTGAGCCTGTGCTCCAGCTCCCGGCCAGACCAGATGTGTGAGCCTGTGCTCCAGTCTGGATGTGTGAGCCTGTGGTCCAGACTGGATGTGTGAGCCTGTGCTCCAGCTCCCGACCAGTCCAGATGTGTGAGCCTGTGCTCCAGTCTGGATGTGTGAGCCTGTGCTCCAGCTTCCGGCCAGACCAGATGTGTGAGCCTGTGGTCCAGATCAGGTGTGTGAGCCTACCCAGCCCGGATGTGTGAGCCTGTGCTCCCGCCTGGATGTGTGAGCCTCTGCTCCAGCCAGGAGGTGCTTCTCTCTGGTTCTTGTGCTCCTCCTTGGTAGTCTGCTCGTCTGTTCTTCCTCATTCCACCACCTAACAAACCCACCTGACTCTGGTAGAGGATTTTGGCCCACCCCCACTCTGAATGTCACAGGCGCTGCTGGGGTGTATGTGGAAGTGGATGTTGACTAGGAGTCCACAGAGCAGTAGCATCAGTCACCAGAAAGACTCAAGAGCGCCTGCAAAGCTCAAGCCAATTAGGAGAATAGCCCTTGGGAGTCAAAAGAAAACCGCAATTTAGAAACCTTTTCGTGAGCACTAGGAGCCCGCACTGTAAGAGCCCTTTGCATGAAGATCATGTCCTGTGGGGTCACCACAGCCTCATCTGAAGCCAGCAGTGCCCCATACTATAAACCTCTGAGGACTGGGGAGATGGCTCCCCGGGTAAGGTGTTTGCCATGCAAGCCTGGGGAACTGGGTATGGATTCCCAGCACCTGCATAAGGTGCAGTAGTGCATCCATGCACATCCCAGCACTGGAAAGCCGAGGCACGAGGGTTCCTGGAGCAAGCTTTCCAGTCAGCCATGCCCATCAGTGAATGCCAGCTCAGTGTGAGACGCTGACTCAAAATATAAGATGGGGAGTTGTCAGGAGCCATTTCCCCCCAAAAGTATTGCAGGGACCATTGTCCTGGGGATGTTTGCAGAGAGCCCCACACCCAACTATCTTGAAAGCTATCTGTTAGCGGAACCTGCCCCACATTCCAACTATCTAGGGAACTGTTTGTGGTTGGAATCACAAAAGGAACGATTCTGCTAGCATAGAGAACACTAGGTGTGTCAACTCATGACCAAGTGTCGACTCATGACCATTGCTGCCCTGGCAAGATTCCATGGCCCTGCCTTCTGCCCCCATCCCAAGCCAAATTCCTCATCCAAGGGCTATATAAGCTGCCGCCATTACGCTAATAAACGGAGGCTTTGACAAGAGAATTTTGCTTGGCTTCGTTCCTCTCTCTTGCCCATGTCTTTTTCAGATAGCTCCTCTTCGGGACCCTGGAATAACTGACCTGCCAGGCAGGTTACAACCCTAGACTAACTGACCCGCTGGGCGGTTACAGGGAGTGGTTGAGGAACACACGTGACATGGACTGTGTGCCTCATCAGGACATGACACCCCCCGCTCCCCCCGACACACACACAAGCACACATGCATACACGCACACAAAATCTTAGTTTCTTAGGACTATCAAAACACTTCTGAGCCAAGGTGAACGTCTGTCTCAAAAAATGATAAAAGTGGAAACAGTTTGCTAAAAATCAATCAAGAAGACGTCTACACTAGTTTATCAAAACTCACAATAACAAATTTTAAAGTTACGAGACTTCTGAGCCATGAAATCTGTGTTGGGAAGAAGACTGAAGGTTTAGAGGAATAAGAACACTGGTAAAAACTCTCTTGCTTTTTAAGCGCCACCCTTTTTTAAATTTGATTATTTTTTAAGGGTCATCTTTTTCTTCTCCTTTGTTGAGAAGATAGGGTTATTACATTTCTTTACTTGTGTGTTGGGGAGTCAGAGAATAACTTACAGGAATCAGTTCTGTCTTTCCATCCCGTGTGTGCCCCAGGGTTAGAACCCAGGTTTTCAGGTTTGGCAGCTCCTTTACCCTCCTTTTTGTAGCTGAGACAGCCCTCCAACTGATAGCCATCTCCTGCCTTGGTGTCCAGAGTGGGTCAGTATGTCTAGCCTCCCCCTCCCCCCCTTTTTAATTTTTTTTTTTGTTTTAACAGCTGGTCTTTTGGAACTGAAATGCCTTCAATTAAATTTTACACATAAAGACTATATTCATTATGAACTCTAGATCTTTTACAGACCCTAGAGGGAAACATCTTTCTTCACGGGGGACACCCTGGACAGTGCTTTCTATTTTTAAAACATTCTTTTAGTGCTCAGAGAAATGTACACATTTATTAGAGAAATATTTGACCTGAAATCCCTACAGGAAAAAAAATCTTAGCTTTTAATAGACAGACAGGGCACCATAGTTATATACTTAATACAAAGCTCCAGAGACAAAGGGACTCAGTGTCTTGGTGTTAAGCACCGTACTTTAAGCTGACATTGGAGAGGATGAAACAGGAAGAGGCTTGGCTATAGAACCTGAAATCTGTGTCAGGGGAGGGAGCTGGATCTGGCTTTGAAGGACTTCACAGGCCTCAGCTTTGGTGACCGATGGACAGTGAACTTTGCTTGTGATATGCTGTGATTTCTGGTCTGCTGGGAAGGCGGCTGAGAGTGAATTCATCAAGCCGTTTAGCCAAGGTCTCTCCTCTTGCAGTGGTGTTGTGTAAAAAGGAAGTACAGGGATATCAGAAAGAGAAGCCTAACCCTGCCCCAGAGAGCTCTACTGGACCGACACCTAATGAGCTGTCTTCTTCTTCTTATCTGCCCATCACTTGCTAACCCAGGATGAACATAGCGCCTGGTACTGAAAGGGCCAGTTCGAGATGCCCAGAGCTGCAGTCAGAACCAGTGTCTTTTTGGCCCGTTTGTCCTCTTTTTGATGCTAATGGTGTCAGTTTCAGTATTTGTATGATTTAAATTATTTCCGCAGAAACCTGTTCCGCCAAAACCCGAGCCTAAACCAAGAAAAACAGCTGCTAAGGTAAGTAAGAGGCATTCCCCTCTTCCCTCCCGTGGCTTTCTAAACAATGAATAATTTATTCATTATAATCCCATGCCGAAAAATCATCTGAGGAGAGAGAGATCCTGTTTAATGACTCCAGCTAAAATGTGCAGACCAGAAAGTTGTCCCCACCATACGGGCTTTCTTTAAAGATGCAAAGAGCCAGTTTTGTGCATTAGCAGGGATGTGTTTTCCATTTGGTCAGTGAGGTGCAGGAAGCACATAGCAAGTGGCCCTGGACAGCCTTGTGTGGGGAAGGGCCTGCCAGTGGGCTCAGCACATGTTCTCAGTCACACGGTGGTCTGGTGGGGTTAGACCTGGCCCTGGACCCCACTGCTGCCACCAGCACCAGAGGTCAGAGAGGGGCTCACAGCCTCATATGACTAACTATTAGTAGATGGCCATTCCCAGACTAGCAATAACAATGTGATCATTTACTCTGGCAAGTAGTGAGCTCTAGCCTGACACTGTGTGAGACCTGTTCTGGGTGCTTTCCTCAGTCACCCTCAGCTCGGTCTACGCTACTGAAATAGATATGAGTATCCTGTTTGGCAGCTGAGAAAACTTGAAGTCCACTAATACCAATGAACTTGGCCACAGTGACTCTCCTGTACCGCACCTATCAAAGCACCCACACTCTCTGAAACTGTGTGTGGTAGTGAATACAGATTTCCAAAGTGGAGCTCAGCTCTGTGACTCAGTCATAAAATTAGCAACATTTCTTCATCCGGGCCTTTATTTTCAGTGCCTTTCTGGTTGTGTAAGCTGTGTGGCTCCACATGACTTGTCGCATCGGGGCACAACAGGAAAAGCCACAGCCCCTGGTGGGTGGGTTTTCCCCCCAGGCTTTCCCCTTTCACCAGGTCCTGTGGCTGCCCTCTCCACAGCAAAACTACTCACGGTAGAAATGGCCCAGGAGTCACCATTGTCCCACAGACTAGAAGAGCTGGTGGGCTCAGCAAGCAAGCAACCTATTACAGTTTTATGGAGGTACAGTGTAGTTCAGGTGACACAGCAAATTCGGGCCCCCACGGGAAGCTGTCATTGCATCTGGCTGGGTTCCAGCAAGGGCTTCTTAACATCACTCAGCACCTAACGCGTTCTGTCTCCTGTGATTCAATCATTAGAAAGAACCTGGAACCAAGATTAGCAGAGGTGCTAAAGGGAAGAAGGAAGAAAAGCAGGAAGCTGGAAAGGAAGGTACTGCACCATCTTCAAATGGTGACACTAAGGCTGAAGAGGTACTTTCCACGACCACCTCCCGCTCACCGACTAGGTGTCGTAAAAGAAATTGCTCGATCCTTTAGCTCTGGATAGCACATTCATGACGTCTCTCTTTATTGCCTGTAATGTTATTGCAGATCCACATCTCTCGCTCAACTGTTAATGTCTCAGCCTGCAGAAGTCCCCCACCCAGCACACTGTCAGTAAAGGGGCAGATTGAAACAGTCAGAGTTAAGGGTACAGTAGACACTCTGCATGTTTGCAGTGACTAGAATCAGGTAGTAGCTTGCTGTTTCTTATTGTGCCCACTGGAGCCCACAGGTAAGGCTGCTGTGGTTGTTTAAATGGCAGAAAGAATCAACGCTGCGAGTCTTGCCGTGATCCCTTCGGGCCTTGTGTGTTTTCCACCCAGAGTCAAAGTGTGTTTCAAAGTAGACCTGGAAGGAAAACGAGGCCACATGCTCAAAAGTGTGTTTCTTGGTGGGTGGATTTACCTTCAGTTGTACTTATTTTAGTGGTAACTATATATTGTTTTCTTTCTTTTTTATTCGCAGGCACGGAGAACTGAATCTCTAGATAATGAGGGAGAATGAATTGTGGAAAACTGGGGTTGACTTCATGTACCTCTTGGGACAACTTTTAAAAGCTATTTTTACCGAGTATTTTGTAAATGCTAATTTTTTAGGACTCTATTAGTTGGCATAAAATATATAAAGATGGACATTTTATCCTCTTACGGTGGTGTTTTTTGGAAATTTCCATCATCCTCAAGTAAAACAAATACAATTTAATATCGAAGCTGCGTGTAAAATGGATTCAGCATTCCATACCCTTGCTTTAAACATTTAGTCCTGTGCATACTGCGGTGTTTTTACTGTGCATATTTGAATTTTTCATGCAATTTTTCTAGAGCAATAATCAGTGGTGCTTTTGTGCCTAGGTTTTATGTGATTTTAATGAAATATGGATAGTTGTGGCCACCTGCTGACTATTTGTCGTTTCAAATAAAAAGGTTTTCTTGTCTGCAAAATGCCTACCTGTTTGTGCCTTTACTAAACTTAAGACGTGATTCGTTTGATTAGTGAAGATGACATAAAGAATGTCTACAGTTGGTACCACGGTGTTATCACAAGGAAGTCAGACGGCACTGTTTCATAATTTTGGGGGCCTTTAGCATTATTATTTTAATTAAACATGTATGACTGCCAGGGTAGAAGAATCACATATACCTCACTTTGTAACAGGCATGGCCAATAATGATTGTCGTGTATATAAAGCTTAATATAATATTGACGTTCATAAAGTCCTTAAAAACAAGTAGAGTTCCACTAAACTGTAACTAGAAAAAAATAAATAAAAACAAGCTGAATAGGGTGGGCATGTGGGAGGGAGAAACAGGAGAAGGAGAGAGAGAGAGAGAGAGGGAGAGAGAGAGAGAGAGAGAGAGAGAGAGAGAGAGAAGCAGGAGGAGGAGGAAAGGGGAGGGGAGGAAGAGAAGAGAAAAACAAATCTGGGCTCATCTTTTAATGCCTCCCACTTTCAGGATAGCATCACATCAGATTTGTATAGGGGTGCTTTCCCTTGTGTGAGAACATCAGGGCTGCGAATGCTCTTGGTCCCGTACGGCCACGCTGCAGCCTGTGTCAGCCCAAGAGGAACACTGGCCAGCGAGTTATTAGGGCTCCTTTGTAGGTGAGGAAATGGGAGTGCCTGACGTAAAGGAACGGGAGAATCCAGGCTTGACTTACTGATTTTCAAATAATGTCTTTCTGTCCGTGGAAGGGCATAGCAATGTCAGGGACAAAGGAGCTATTCTAAATGTAACTTATTGTTTATGGTCCCCAAATCTGAGCCCCACCCCCGGAAAGCCGAATGCTCAGGATTCTGCTTAGCTGGAAACATCCTGTAAGATGGAAAATAGTGGCTACATAGCTCAGGGACTTGTGGAAAGAGACTCTTGGTCCTCAAGACCTTACACGTCCACAAAACAGAGACCCCCTCCTGCCACGTGCATTTTGGGCTAAGCACTTAAACTTGTACCATTGTCCAAAATCCATCATTAGTTAATTACAAGTATGAACCCCATTGTGTTAACAATGATCTCATGACTAGTATTCCTTGACTTCTTTCTGTGAAATGCGCCTGAATGCATGAGTTTGGGTTGTGCTGAAAGCGGCTTTCCCCTTAGAGAGAAGCTCCTGCTACCCCGTGGGTACTTTACAAAATATGTGTTCAATATGTTAATGCTCAACTGAAGCCCTTTGCTGGCTGGTGTCCAGTTCAGGACTGGACTAGCATGCCCATAAATTGACTTTTGAAGAATTATAGGGTGGTAGAGATGATTTTAAAAATACTAGGCATTACAGTAATGCACGGAGAAGTGATGGTGTGTGACTCTTTCCTCACGTCTGTGTCCCAGAGGCAATCGCTGTGCATTTGTCATGCAGTGTTTAAAAGAGGGAACCTTGCTAGGCTGCCATTTATTCAGCTAGTAAAGTATCATTGAAGATAGATCTCGCTGGCTCCATTTTAAGGTTGCACCCTAGACACAGAATGTCTAAATCAAAGAAAATATATATTTGACATCTTTTGGCTGTTGCCCAAAAATGACACTAATTTCCACTCTTGCCAGTGGTATATGAACGGCACCACTCTCGGCTTTGCCAACCTCTCACTTTGTCCAATCTAGTAAGTGAAAATTATCCTCTGGTGTTTCAATTTTAACTTTTTGATGTTTAGTATCCATTTAAATCACTTCTGGAAATCCCGTTTTTGTCTTTCTGTTGAGACGTCGCTCTATTCTAAGCCATCCCTCATAATAACCATCGATGGTATGTGTCTAAGTGTGGGTACGCTCACCCCTCACCTCATCCACAACTTCTGGGAGTGCTGTGGAGCTAATGGGTACCAGAGTAACCTCAGAGCCACGGGTGGGTTTCCTAGCACCTGACGACTCGTGTCCACTGTGGCACATTAAGGACACACTGCCCGAGGTCACATGCCAAGTGTAGGAATGCCCACTGCTACCCCTTAGACTAGTTGTTAGACTTTAGAAAAGAGTTCCACTTCTCCCGGGTGCCTGTGGGTTGATTTGCTTGAAATGGCATCCATTCTGTGAATCTTGGAAGACTGAATCAAACAGTGCCCGGTGTAGGTGAGTTACATTATGTAAACAATCATGAGTGCACACTTAGAATTGCATTATGTATACAGTCACGACTGCACACTTAGAAATCTCCCTTGAGGCTGCCCAGTGGGACTCTAGTGGAGTTAGAGTGGGCTTTAGAGGCACACAGCCCTGAAATTCCCTATTACTTGCTCTGTGATGAGGCAACGCATGTATCAGGGTCTAACAATAGATAAACACTCCTTAGTGCGCATTAACATAGATAATACGTTTGTCAAATGATTTTTTTTTCTCAAATGTTGCAAGACTTTGCTTTCCTGTCTGCAGATTTAAATGTTCTTTAGTTTGTTAGCCGAACAGCAATAGGGAAGCCATCTCAGCTAAGCTACTCACATGGTAATGTCTTTGAATGTTTTTCTTTTAAGCATGAATTCCAAACTTTTATTATTTTCTGTTAGTTTATTTAGAACATTGACTTTTAAATCTCTTAATAATTATAGTGATTCAGATAATAGATAGAATGTATTAAATGTCCTGTAATAAACACGACATATAAATTATTAATTTGGGAGATAATTTATGTCCTGTAATACCATGATCTACCCTCTCGTAAGAAATAAGCCCAGTTTTCCAGCATGAAATGGAGGGTCTGGCTCACTTTAAGCTGCATAATGCGTCTCGTGGGAGAAGGGGAAGTTTAAAAATGATCTTTTTACGTCACATTTCCTGACCTTTAAATGGGCAAGATCTCTTGAATATGAAACCAAGAGCATAAGAAATCAAATCAAAGAAATGGATGACATCTAAATTTAAAACTCTCAGGACAATGGATATAACCCACAGAATGGGAGAGCAACATTTCAAGTTATCAATCTCATATGGGTTTTGGAATCCATTAATGTATTCCAAGATACATTTTATAAAGCCACTTTAAAAAGTGGGGAGGTGACCTGAATAGACATTTTTTAGCACATACTCATGGTCATAGGCTGTGAAGGGATGGTCAGTATCCTAGTCAGGGTTCCAATTGCTGTGATGAAACGTCATGCCCAATGCAACTTGGGGAAGAAAGTTCCTTCGTCACTGAAGGAAGTCAGGACAGGAACTCAAACAGTGCAGGGACCTGGAACCAGAAGCTGAAACACAGGCCATGGGGGCGTGCTGCGTACTGGCTTGCTCCTCATCGCTTGTTCAGTGTCCTCTTATTTAGAGCATACTATGGCCACCCAGCCCAGGACTGACCCCACCCACAATGAGATGAGCCCGCCCACATCAATCACTAATTAAGAACATGCCCTACAGGCTTGCCTACAGCCTAATCTTTCGGGAGGCATTTTCTCAGTTGAGGTTCCCTCCTCTCAGATGACTCTAGCTTGGGTCAAGTTGACATTAAACTAGCCAGGACAGTCAGCATAGCTCCCCACCTTTCTGAACCTCAATGCCATCAGGGAAGGAAAGAAACAAGTTCAGCGAGTATGGAGAAACGTGAGCATTCACAGATGTGTGAAATGGGAAAATGGTGTAGGGTTTTGGGGGGAAAAAGTTTGGTTTGTCCTCAGAAAGTTCAACAAAGAGCTCTCACCCATCAGTGCCACTCCTAGGTCTAAACGGAAAAAGACCGAACACATGTTCAGTCAAAAGCTTGTGTCTGAGTTTTCATAGAAGTATATTTCCTAATAGCTCCCAAGTGGAACATTCCACGTGTCTGTCAATTTATGAAAAGGTAAAAAATTAAGACTATGAAATATAATAGTATCCAGCTATAGAGAGGGACATACTATCACACAATGAACCCTGGAAATATGATGCCATATTAAAGAAGACGCACATGATCTGGGTGGTGGTGGCACACACCTTTAATCTTAGCTCTTGGGAGACAGAGGCAGGTGAATCTGTGAGTTTGAGGCCAGCCTGGTCTACAAGAGCTAGTACCAGGATAGGTTACAAAGCTACAGAAAAACCCTGTCTCAGAAAACGAAAAACAAAAAAAGAAGAAAAGAAAAAGACACAAAGGCTACACGTTCCCATTTATGTGACATACTGAGGGTAGACGCATCTATAGGAACACAGATTAGACTAGCTGCCAGAAGCTGGGGAAGAACGGGATGGGTAGTAGCTGCTAATGGGTACAAGGATCTATGGGGAATGATGAAATTCAAAACTCACGTTAGCACAACCTTTCAGTTTATCAATAGTCACTGGTTTACAGTTTACAGAAAAATACAATTTACAAGGCTATTGAAAGCTCATGATTTCGGAATCGGAAGATATGGGTTTAAAACATTTTAGATGGATTTGTTTATTTTTTTATGTGTGTGAGTGAGTCTTGCCTGCATGTAGGTATGTGTACCATATGCATGCCTTGTGTCTACTGACATCAGAGGAGGATGTCAGATCCCCTAGAATTGGAGTTACAGATTGTTGTGAGCTGCCATATGGATGCTGGGAACAGAACTTGGGTCTTTTGCAAGAGCAAATGCTCTTAGCCTCTGAACCATTTCTCCAGCATCTAAGATCTGAGTTTTCAATCCCAAAGTTACTTTTCAGGAATTGTATGAACTCAGACAGGTGATTTCACATCTACTTATCAATTTACTCATATCTACAACAGAGATGATATCAGCGTGACAAAGCTATTACGATTGAATGAAAGATCGTGAAATCAACTAGTATAAGTGCCTAAAATGCAATCGATCATAAATATCAGTTGAACTACACAGCCTTTGGAGGTAGGCTCAGGTAGAAAGACGACTCATACTTCACCTGAAAGACAGTATACTGCAATAGTCAGGCCATGAACTCTGCAGCCATGCTGCTACTAATTCAATCTTTTGTCTGCCTACATGTCAATGAGCAATTCAATCAGTTCTTCTCTACCTTAGTGTTTCTATCGATAA